ATTGATATATCGACGCGAATTTCGGTATTTTTTCTCGATATTTAATTCAGTTTTCCCACGGATCGTTCCGTTCATCTCATTTTATGCGATCCCTTGGGCGGCTGCAGTTATGCAAATCGAGATGATACACCATTAGTGGTATCCCTCCGGCGCGTCCTTCTCCGCGGAAGCCAATCAGCGTCGCGAGAGGCGCGTAATTAGCAGTTACATTATATCCTTCGGGTTTCGTGCGTATGTGCACGAGACACTGGCGACGAGTGCGCGCACTCATACTCACACACGGTTGTTCTCGCGCTTGTTAGGATTCATAAGGTGAACGTCGCGTTACACGCGACCCGGTGGCCCTCATTAGAGCTCTAATTGCACGTGATTATCCTGGCAATTACTCAGGAATACATTACGACTCGCCAAATCGCGATCACGTGGGCGTCGCGTCATGTCGCAGCTTTGCTCTCGTGCTCGAAAGTATACATCGCTAATCTCGCTTCTCATCATTAATAACATGTTCTTAACTTGGATGAAACCTCCCATCTCTTCTATTGAAAAATACTTTGAAATGATACCAATCTAAGTCTCTACGATTTATAGAACTAACGTATTGCACATTTTTTATCTAGTAAATTATATATATATATATATATGTATGTGCATATATACTCGCATTGACGTACGTGCATTTGCATTCTACATTATAATAATTTTTCCTTGGGTCTTTAATTTAATTAACTTGAAAATTGCAAAAATTTATCTATTCTTAGTATTTTAAATTATTAAGAACAATCGCATACAATGCTTTTTGAAATTTCTTGTCTCTTAAATATCGATTTTTATTATTTTAAATAAGAGGGGTCCTAAAATCGATTTACGCCCGGGTGTTCTTTTGAACATCCATCATTACATGATAAAAATAGCTTGATACAGCCGTGCGTGAAAATTTTATTGGCTGATATTCCGAGGCACACGAATGGCTCCAACCGATTGACAATATTTCACGTTTTATTAACGCAAACGTCGTCGCGCGAGGCACTCCTCGATGTCTTTCAATGATCCAGGAAGACCCGACGAGAGAGATGCGTGGCGACGGCGAGAATACCGTTGTCGAACTGGAGGCGTGCATTTATCTGGAAGCTCGACAATTCTACCATGTCTCGTTAACATAGTGGAAGTAAACGTGATCGCTTCGCCGCCATGAAGAAAGAAAAAAGAAGCTGTAACCACTTATTCTCGCGCGATCATGCTTTCTCATGCGAAACGACAATGTCGATAGAATTACGCATTATTATTTATTCGTAATTACTCGTATGTTTCTTTTCCTAGTTGCTTAATGACAAAAAGTTCATATATAATTATGAGTTCATATACATATAATAATAAGAGGATTGTATGTAATTACTGTTCACGATCTCGCGTTTTCTCGATAAATATATGTATGTGTGTAAAAATGAATGTTTATGGAGTTGTTAGATAGGCGTGATCACACAAGCTGACCTTATTTTTGAAATGGGAAAAATAGACGCCGGTTAAATATATTTTCCAAGCAATTTGGCTTATCTTTTTTACGATGTAAAAAACGATTTGCATTACCAAGTGGCTACAGTTTTTTTACGACATGATAGCTATGTCATTTATCTATACCTTCTCTACATTGTATATTTGCTTTTTTTTCGTATATATTTAAGTCTGGATTGATCTTAACTATGGAAAAGAGTCTTGAATATTTTACACATATATCTATATCGCTTTTTTGATCAGAAAAAAAAAAAAACAAATTTAAAATATTCTGGCATGACATTATTCTATATTTTGGAGCGACAAGAAAAAAAATAAAGATTTGCGAAATGTAAGTTTTTAACATAGGAAACAAGAGAGGATAACTGTTACAGATTTCTATCGTAAATTGTTTACCTGCACACTCTCGAACTTCGCGGCGCTGACAAAGCGCAAGAAAATAAACGTTGCCCGGCTGTATGGCGATTTTTTGCGTGAAATAGTCACAGAGCACAACAAAGAGAAGAACGATGCGAAAGGAGAAGATGAAGAGGAGAACGCGCGCCAGGAGCCTGTTTAGAGAGCATCCCGACGTGGTAACAGCGGCCCAAGATGGCGTCCGCTCTCTGTGGTTCCTCGTTTTCTCTTTCTCTCTTGGTTTAATTTCCCATACCATCAACCATCATCTCGTCCTTTTTTGGTGCGCGCGTTACGCCTATGGAATACGTAACACACGCAGCACGCGCGCGCGCCGTGATATACGCACGTGATACAACGCATCTGGAGCGCGATTTTACGTTTGTTCTTTGCCGATACGCGCGTGTGTGTGTGTGCGCGAACGAAACAGTATCGAGCACCACCGAAAGACACACGGCCACCCCTCGGTCACGGATTAGCATATCAATCCCCTCGTTATACGGCCTCGACGGTCTCGCTCTCTGTCTCTCTCTTTTCCGCTCGATCCGCGCCATTAAGGTTCGCGCGAGTATAATAGTGTATAGCCATTGTTACATTCGATCGCGAGTTCTATTTGTGATATCCCGACTATAGGTAGTTACAGATTTTAAATCGGCTCTATTTGACACGCGAATGCTGGCTAATTGGAAATTTTAAAGCAGTTTTATTTGTCATGCGAGTACTAAAACGCGCTCTCTTTAATGCTCAAACTCTAATTGTAGATTGTAGATGATATCTACAGAGTCTCTGGTATCTCCAGCGACTTTATAATGGCATCGATGAAAATTAATGTAATTTTCAATTAATTGATTAATCAATAACAAAAGGAAAGAGGAAGAGAAACAGAAAAAAAAGAGAAAGAAAAAAATTAAAAAACAAAAAAATAAAATAAATTAAGTCATAGCATAATTCTTTTCCAAAATTTTCAAGTTTTTTTACCTAGGAACGGTTTTGTGGCTTTGTAAGCGATTCTTATAATTTTTTCTATCTTTCTTTTATCAAATGCCGAGCTTTATATTTTTCCTTCTTTTCATATCCTTATATTTAGAACAGTTTAGTTGGGCACGGTGTGACTCACCACGATAATTGATGAATATAAGTGAGATTAAACGTCTTTAAAAATGAGATTTTTCTTAGGTCCGTATTTCCATACGATTCCTCCTTAAGCTCTACGTTTATAACCGCTGTATTATTATCGCTACTAATGCTGGTACTGGTTCTTGGGCTTGATGATAATAAATATCGATGATACCGCTAATAAATATTACCGACGGATTGCATTAATCTATCACGTTTGATATCGTATTATAATCTACCGCTATATTAATAATGTTGAAATATGATATTAGTTGAATATACGTTAACGGATAATAGTCCTTGTGAGCAACCTTGTTTATGGACAAATTCATCAATATAGTTGTCAATCTTCCTGCTTTTTTCGTAGAAATAATCCGATATAGAGCTATGTTCAGTAATGTTAATTAATGCTAAGTGTTTGTCATTATCACTATAGCCAATCGTATAATTCATACGGAAACAAAGAAACTGTCGGTTAATTAACGATATAAAACCGATCTATAATGATCCATAATGATCCATAATTTGTTGAGTGCGAAAAAAAGTTATTACGAGATATCATTTTTATTACGATGTCGGCTTTGCGTGCCCCGTCGATGAAGTGTCAGACGCATTGCATTGCCACGATATGATATATAATTGCTTTTTTATGAATCAAGTGTATCGCGCGCGGATTCAGCGCGGCAAACGCGAGCTTTATATTTTTCCTTCTTTTCATATCCTTATATTTAGAACAGTTTAGTTGGGCACGGTGGCTCACCACGATAATTGATGAATATAAGTGAGATCAAACGTCTTTAAAAATGAGATTTTTCTTAGGTCCGTATTTCCATACGATTCCTCCTTAAGCTCTACGTTTATAACCGCTGTATTATTATCGCTACTAATGCTGGTACTGGTTCTTGGGCTTGATGATAATAAATATCGATGATACCGCTAATAAATATTACCGACGGATTGCATTAATCTATCACGTTTGATATCGTATTATAATCTACCGCTATATTAATAATGTTGAAATATGATATTAGTTGAATATACGTTAACGGATAATAGTCCTTGTGAGCAACCTTGTTTATGGACAAATTCATCAATATAGTTGTCAATCTTCCTGCTTTTTTCGTAGAAATAATCCGATATAGAGCTATGTTCAGTAATGTTAATTAATGCTAAGTGTTTGTCATTATCACTATAGCCAATCGTATAATTCATACGGAAACAAAGAAACTGTCGGTTAATTAACGATATAAAACCGATCTATAATGATCCATAATGATCCATAATTTGTTGAGTGCGAAAAAAAGTTATTACGAGATATCATTTTTATTACGATGTCGGCTTTGCGTGCCCCGTCGATGAAGTGTCAGACGCATTGCATTGCCACGATATGATATATAATTGCTTTTTTATGAATCAAGTGTATCGCGCGCGGATTCAGCGCGGCAAACGAAGTGTAAATGAGACGATTATTACTGCGAAATGAAGAGAGAAAACAATGAGGCTCGCGGCATCTACATCTCTTACACGAAAACATCTCCGAGCGATATACGTGGATCTCTACGCGATCCTTGTAAAAAATATCAATCTTTCTTAACGCGAAAAAAACTAATGACGCACTACTGAAATTTATTAATCTGCATGACATTTGCATAAAGTATATCACTCTCGATAAATAGAAAATATATGTGCACCAGAGATAATCTAATTATCATTTTTAATCAAACTGATTGATTAACTCAATCTTATTAAATATTCAATTTACAACAAGATAGTCGATATTACTTGATAATCCCCATGTCGGATAGCAAATAATAATTATTATTATTATTGACTTGTTAGAATGACGCAAAAGCAATTCCGATTAAGAGAGAGTTTCGAGTTTGATTAAAAATTATATTGAATCGTTTGGCTTAATTTAATTTTGCGTCATGAGATTATTTGTGAGATAATATTACGATATAAACTTTCTTCACATTTACCTGCGTTTCCGTCAACGACAACGCCTGCGCCAACTGCTTCCTCTCCGCGCCGACGACGTAGTGATTTTTCTCAAAGGCGTGTTCCAGTTTCAGCAGTTGGCTCGGACTGAAGGCTGTCCTTATTCTCTTCGGTTTTCTGAAGGGTTGAAGCAGGAAGCCGGGTATATCAGGACCTGAGACGCAAACAAAGTATTAAAATAAAAATGAGCTCTTGAATTAAATTACGACTCTAGAATGAAATTAGCTCTTACATTAAACTCAAAAATGTTTAAATTTAATCTAAGGGAGTTATAATTTCAAATTTTAACAGAATTTAATAATATATCATTATATCATTTTTATTAAAACTTAATGGATGAGGTGAAAGCGCGCAATGAAGGAAAAATAAAAAGCGAAATTACAACAAAGTTGAAGAGAATGTTATTAAGAAGGAGGAAAAATGTTGAATTTAAATAATGAATCATATGATATGAATCGACGAAGGTAAGAATGCGTATAATTCAAGCCGACAAATTAAAATAGTAATTAAATTACACGAGGAGCTACCTGCATAAAGTTTTCTCGTCATCAGACAGTCGGTTGGCATAAGCGAATGGGGGAAGGGAGGAGAGAAATAGAGGCCGTACGATTTATTAACGATTAATTAATTGTTAAACGCCGCGACGTCATCCGGTTGGTATCTGTATATTGTGGTCTCGCCTTGAAAATAAGTAACCGACACGCAAGCCACACAAATTCGTTCGCGAACCGTAGGGCAGTATGCGTGCCGGCGAAGAAAGGAAAGAAACACCTATTCCCGAGGCGGAGAGAGAAAGAGCCAGGAACTCGGGGCCAGGTAATTGAGTATTCTACCACGAAAAAGCCATGTCGATCGGCCGATAGCCACGTCTGCCGGAAGTCACCCGAGATGCTTTAGCGGAAAGCACGGGACGATAAATCGCCACGTCGCCCCGCACAGTTTCCCTTCGACGCGTGACTATACCTCTCGACCGTGTTTCATGCAGTGCGTTAATCCGATTTCTAGCACTCGCCAATTGAGATCGTTGAGGAAAAATTGCGAGAATAGTATCGAGATCGAAATCGCCAGAAAAAATGTCGTTCGAGATTGACGCTTGAAATAATTTAAATATAAATCTCGGGATTACAGAATAAAAAACATACTTTACACACAATATAATATATAAGTGTGAAATTTATAATTTAAAGTAAATGTCTAACAAAATATCAGACTTGCCTTCTATTCCGCATGACGATCACCGGCATTAATTAGCATCTACACGTACCTTCCGTGTTATTATTCATTGCGGTTTCTAAATAACAGCGTTAGCGCGCAAAGTGATCTAAATAAGTTACGCTCAGTAGGTTATACAGCTAGTAACAGCGGTATAACGTACACACGACCAGTCGCAACGGTGAATCGTATCATTTGCATTGCGAAAAATTTTATTCACCAGGATCCACGCGGCTGAAACTGACAAGTTAATAACTGGATAGTCGAGCGACTGCTATATCCTCTAACCATCTGTACGTTTCCCATATTTCTACCGGCTGCAAATTCGCAATTGCATCGCGCGCGCGTTAAAGCTGTCAAAGTGATCTAAAAATACATGAGACGCATCGACTAGCAGTATCGCGATTGGTCGATGAATCATTTCGTTTAATGCTATCGATACTCGGTCAATGTACCTGTAAGTATCCGTGACTTTAGGTAATGGACCGGTATCCTTGATACCCGAGTAGAGACCACTCGATCCATACTGACAGCGCAAATCTCATTTGCATCGCGAAACAATCCGCTATATAATCTTCATAGCCGAGGTTAGAGGCGTATCATTTCAGAGATGACCTTCTATTGCAGTGGTATAAGAGTCACATTTTCCTTGTTCTAAGAAACAAAAGACTTTATAAAAAAGTACTCGGTCGGTAACAAGTACTTTCATATAATCCAGAATTAATTTATATTTGAGAATTTGATTAAGATGATTTTAATTAAGCAATCCTAATGCCTCTTGAAATATATTTACAGCTTTATATTTGATATATCACTGTTTTGCTCGACGCCTCGTTTCCCCCGTTGTCATTCTTTAAAATCACGTTTTCGCAAAAGAGTCGCAAAGCGAACGTCTTAATGGGCACGTCACATACACAGGCGTGTGCTGCTTAAATAGAATGCGCCTCCACGTGCGAGCGCATTCTTGTGAATCGCGCGGCGAAAGTTGATCATTGGATCAAAGCACCTCGCGTGCGAATAGATGCATTAATCAGGGCTATCTAGAGGTGGCGAAAATGGAGCCGCTTTCGTGATTCGTCGTAATTCACATAACCCACCGATTTGGAGAAATGTAGCGTAAAAAATGCTTCATTTTATCTATATGATTTTCGTGAATAATTATTTATATAACAAATTTGTTGATCATTTAAAGGTAAATTGATATATCAATATATATATATTTCCGTCGTGCGTAACAATTTATCGATTAAAGCATCCCATAATTTACTTCTTTCTGTTATTTCCAACAACAAAGGGAACGAGCGTAGATAAATGTAAATGGTATCGAATTACACAAACGGGCGAGAGAGTCTCTACAGGTACACGGTCGACGTTAATTACAGCAACGGAATAAAGGATCATTAGCGGCGCGCCCGTGCGTGAAGCGATCGCTATTTATGTGGGTAATGAATAGTAATGCGGTGACTCTTACTGCGACTGTGCTCGGCCGCAATTTTGAATGCGCGACGAATGTTGCATACAGCAACCATGATCCACAACTATGAAGTAACAATCGCGTTTCACCAATAATTAATCAGTTAGCTGGTCGACTAGGATAACGTTTAATGATGCTAAACAATAGATGATGAGAATAAATGACGCGCACGTAATAAACAATTATTCGATTTTCTCTGGTGTCATATATATTTTAATTATTCTAATATTTTATTCCACGACACCCCTGTATATATTTAATAATTCTAATTTTAATTACATCCTCAATTTTTTTTTAAATTCTTATGAGAGAGATAGTAAAGAAAATAAAAAGTTATGAACGCGGGAAATATTTTATATCGTTCGATCTTCGGGAACGCGGGCGATCCGCGATCCCTATCGATCTTGCGGCGAGAGATCGCGGAATAGATACTTCATCGAGGAGAGCTCGTCGTCGTTAGCGATTCTCTAAGAGCTTCCTAGACATCGCCTAGAGCGGCACGCTTAACTCGTCCTTTACTCGAGCAAAGTAGAAACAGAGGAAGAAGAAGAAGAAAAGACGAAGATGAAACCACGACAACAACGAAGACGACGACGAGGAGAAGAACGACATAGCGCGCAGAACGAAGAGGACGACGATGCAGAGGAACGAAGAGACGAGTCGGACGGCCTGTAATTACGGGAAGCTTGTGCTGCGGCTTTCGCAGCTGAGACGCCCAGAGCGACTCGAAATTACTCAAAAATAAGACCAAATGGTAAACGTATCAAATTATATCCCCCTCCTCTCTTCGCAGCCAACTTCCCTCGGGCCCCCTCTCTCATCTCTTTCTCTCTCTCTCTCTCTCTCTCTCTCTCTCTCTTTCACCGATATTCCGTACTCAACCTCCGTATACGTGTCCATCTTTCTCTCTCGATCTCTCTATCTCTGGTATCGCATTTTGCCGGTAAAAGTCGCTCCCGCGCGCCCGGCGCATCGCACTCTAATGCGTTTTTAATTGTCACTAAGCGTGCGACGAGACGTCGTTAGTTTCGCACGCGAAACTAACGACGGCTGACGCGATCGTGAAACGAGTGAAAATGCAAATAAGCAAAGGTGGATGCGCCGATGCATTCGATAATTTGTGTTATTACATTCGTTGAGAAAGCGAGCTTGGACTTCCGAAAGGAGCAACATTTTTTTCTGTATTTTAAAAAAGAGACTCTACTGAAACCGAAAAAATGTGCGCGTATCCAGATTAAAATATTGCCGAATAAAAGACTGTCAACTCTTATACTAAGTTTTTAGGATCCTTTTCTCTTTGTAGAATTTTTCTTTTTTATTAAAAGTCAGTTCATAAATTGCAGAGAGCTTATAGTGTGACATCACAGTATTTTACTGATTGCTCGACTTTATTATTTCTCGCGGTTACCGTAATTTTCCAACGGCGATCGTCGTACTTTTTCACGAAGTAATTTCATCGCATATCTGAAATAATTAACCGTGACGCTATTAATTATTCGAAACCGATCTATTTAATTCCGTTTGCCGTCGGATAATTTCAAATTGGCAACTGACCGTAAATATAGTGAATTGTGCTCGGCCGTGCGAGATGAAGAGTTAATCTCATCGGAAGTTTAATTAAAAGTTAGACCAACAGTTAATTCAAGGCTGAGATGGCCTTGAACTTTAGAGCTGCGATGAAATTATTCACTTTGTGCATCCTTACAAAGATCTTACAATTATAGCAATACATATGTAATTAATTATATGTAATTACGACAAGAGACATGATTTATACAAAAGTGATTAAGCGCTCAATATCGTGGCATCGTAAAATTTTATAGTTCTCTCACATCTCTATTTCCGCCTTCCTCCATAAAATAACCATTAAATAAGTTTTATATAATAGTAATGACATATATACATATGGCCTAAGTATCCTTGTCATAATATCATGTCATAATGTCGTGTGTAAACGCGCCTAAGAATCTAGACGCAAGTTAATAAAATATTCGACTCGCACAGCAATTACGAAATGACACTTTCCGGCCGTCGAAGTGGAGCCATTTAATGATTTTAATAACCCGCGATTGATTAGACGGCGACGCGGTCCTTTGATTTCGCTACCGGTAATTTGCGAATGGAATAGAAATGACGCGAGAAAATCCCATTTCCCCCGCGACAAAAGGGTGATTGGCACGTCGCGGTCGTAAAGTCTGCCTCGATGCAAACGGCCGCGACCGGTTTTACGAGAGAGACTATTTAAAGCATAATCGAATTCGCTCTAATGGCGATTATTAGCGCCAACGCAAGCATTTATGAATTTCGCGATAAATTAATAGTAATATCTTAAAGTTCAATAATATAATAAAAAAATAAAAATCTTATGTCACATCTTTAGACGAAGAAAAAGATTTAAAACTTTACGCGCATACATATCATAAAATATATGTAAAAA